ATCATGATTAGAAATTAGCTCAATTAGAAGCACTACAATAATGCGTCGAGAGTATAAAGTGTTAATTTGCCTGTTCGGTTTTGGTGCTTGAAGAATGGAATACTAATACAAATGTTCCTATTGAATACTGACTGATGTTAGCTACTATGTTTAACCTGTACATGATTGGAGTAGCCATTCACCGGTACCGTCGGTAACGTTGCCTCCGAGAATGTCTCGCGACACGTAACGACAGCAATTCGTAATGGAGTAAAGCTAAAAAAGTTGAATTATGTAGCTTTACCATTACTCAATTCAATCACTATAGCGCTAATATAAACATAAAGGCAATGGGTTTCAAATCAAATGAAAAACGAACCTCATTTCACAAGTAGTATCAAGCGGACCATTGTGGGTAATGTTCGAATGCACATTTCTAGCCCTGTGAAGGTCTGCACCAATTTTATACTTCTCTACAAGCTGAGCCACAGGCACTAAGGAGTGTTCAGCGGTCAAAACATATTCAATCTGGAACAGGTATTTAATGAAGAAAAAAGTAGGAACAGATGTGCACTATAAATTCGTAGATGCTCTAGGAAAACTTGATTTAGAAACAATCAAACTCGTTTACACAGTACCTTTTCCGATTCGGCAATGTCGGCGAGATACTCAAATGCACTCTTGGCCTGCAATTTCTTCAACTCGATCGGCTCCAGATGTACAATGCCTCGTTCGCCTCTTGTGGAAATGCAAATGCTTCCTGTAGAACGGATACCTCGTTTTATTTCTAGATTTACTTCAAAGAAGGCTAGTCTACCAAAAATTCGTGCGTTTTGCATGTCTAGCTAAATCATTATTGCTCTCTATTCATAAATACAACTTAGACACGTAGATGCGGCTTTAGTCACCTTCTTTATTGGAACGAGAGCGGGGTGCGACTTCACCTACAAGAGGTATAGAAATTTGTATCAAAGGCAAAGTCCCAGAAACTGATAGTTTTTTGCACATTTTTCTTGGTTTGTGCTCTTTTTAAAATATATTAACGTCTTCTCACAGGTTATGAGATCAGATCATACCTTCAAAATATAGTAAGGGTGCGTAACCATATACGAATAGCTGAAATTTCAGTTAGTTGCTTTTCGTATTATACTTTTTCCTGCGTTTATTTATGCCCCTTCTCTTCTCGCACTTGCACAGCTTAATTTTAAACTTCATTGCCAACATTTTAATGTCTGTATGTTTAGCATTGTAGTTCTATCTTATAAATTATAATATCATTGGTGTTATTGTATAATCGTCCACGACGGTCTTCCGCCTCATCGTGGCGCGGGGGTGACAGTGTGTCGAATGCGAAGTACAGCGGAGGTTATCCTCCAGCAGGGTCTCCCAAGCTGAGAAGGAGTGGCGTTTGCGGCTCCCCGGACGCCCAGCTAAGAGTAATCCATGCTAGAACCACCACTGTCTGGCTGCTTCAATCGCTAGGTGGTTCCCTGATCCATATGAGGTCAGCGATTTCCTGTGGTGCAAGCTTGGCTAAGCTCCGCTAGTGTTTGGGGGAAAGTTTCTATACTGTACAGCATGTAAGAGAAAAAGAAGCCCTGCACCCTGGATCACATCTACGGCGTTGGATGTCATCAAAACCACTGTCAGGTAGCACAGGACCCGACGAATTTCGGACAAAAAGGACATGCCAACGACTCGCCATGGAGATTGTCGCATGCTCTGCACTTACAACGCCAGGACAGTCTCCACCAATGTCGATATTCAAGCCCTTTTGGAA